TGTTTCTGATTTTTTAAACTGAAGTGAATATTTTCCCTGCAAAGTATGCCTTTTCGTAGAAGGCAAATGTATAGTAAAAAACTTCAATCAAATAAACAACTTCAAAAGTTGTTTGAAGTTTGCCAAAAAGTTTGAATTCCTTGAAGTAAAAGGAAATAAGTGTTTTGAATAATTTACAATATCAAAGCAACCAAGAGTTAGAACTTTGTCTTAATAAGGAGGTCTACATAGTTTGTCCAAAGGTCATCCTTAAAACAAAACAAAGAAACAACTATAAAAAAAACCCAACAAACCAAAACACAACCAAAAACCAAAGAAAACTCCACAGTAACAAAAAAAACCCACAACAATCAAAACCCAGAAAACCCACATGCCACCACTCTCCCCTCACTACAGCCCCCGGAAAACACCGCACAGTCTATACTAGCAAGAATTTGTCAGAACAGATTTGAGAGGCTGAATCTGACCTACATGAGTGCTCTTGAACTTTAAGTAGATATCAGCAGAAATGTGAAAAAATTTTACTCTGATACCATTCTATTTACCTTAGCTCTTCTGCCTCAAGGCCTGAATTTGGCTTATAGTTCTATAACCCTCCTTTTACTATTCTTCTCACCAAACTGTGATCTTGACTACAACTAAGCAATTCTATTTGCCTATGTTTAAACCAACCCAAGACAAGGCACCAAAATATCTCACATACCTCAAAGACTGGGAGAAGTACCAAAGCAAGTTTGAAATGAACAGTGAAAGGAACAAAACTACAGAGAAAGAATATCTGCAACCCAGCTTTTTTCTTTTAACTGTGTTATCACTTTAATGCTTTGTTTCATTCTCATTAAAAAAGACCGCTACGAAGAAACAGACTTCAGAATAAACATGGGATCAGAGTCAACAATAAGGCCATAGAACACATGAGGAAAGACAACAGAAAGTAGAAAGGGCTGAAAAAGCTGGGGATTACCCCAGAAGCAAAGATGAAAAGAACATAAATCCAGCTCTTAAAAGCCTAAATTACAGTCTCTAAGTGATACAGAGTAAGTAAACCAGTACATATTTCCTTCCCTGCGTTAAGCCACTGACACAGGAAAGTAAGCTGTCATTTTAAACGTTGATCAGAATTTCAAATTAAGAAATTTGGTTCCGCTAAATAAGAAAATTCAGGTAATTCACATCCATAAAACTCAATTTTTATTTCAGTACCTGGCTATCCAACACACATGCACACTTTTTAGTGGTCTAGCCTATTTCCCCACTCTATTCCATATTTACAAACCTTTACTGCAGAAATGCAGTTCAGCTTAAAGAGGTATCTAATAGCCAACCCGGACTAGGTTTCAGAAACCACATTTCAAAGTCAAAATTAAAACACTTCAGAGATGACAACTGAACAATCAGTTCCAGAGTTTTTCAGAGAAGAAAAAAAAAACTTAGAATTACCTTTTCACTACCTGCCAAGTCCACAAGGTAAAGTTTTCCACTTAGTTTCTGTTCTGTTTGAGTATTCTCTTGTTTTACATTAATAAGAAAAATACTATGACTTCGGGAGCTGTGTTCATTCATATCTATAACCCAAAATACATAAATTGTCAAAAATATTTGTACAACCAAACTAATTTAACAAAACTGTCTTCTCACAGTGAAGTGACAGATCTAAAGGTAATGAAACTGTTATTAGAGTAATAATAATAATTACTTTAATAGAGTAATCTCTCAATGACAATAAAACTAGAGGTAGCAAAACCAATAGTATCATCCAATTGAGTAACAAGGATCCAGCCTCCCTTGGGTTTCTATTAATAGCACATAAGCTCACTGCTCAGATTTGCTAGCCCGTCAACTACGGATCTCACACGTGTAATTTACTTTATTAGAACAGAAAGCACACTTACATTCTGATACCAGAACTTTTTTTCTGAATTTATAATGTATCACATTTTATCCTTTTGTGAAAATTTCAACTAGATGGCCATACCCTTTCATCCCTTTCTGGTTTAAATACTTACTGCTCCCTCTGCTGTGAAACATGCAGAATAAACAAGACAATGAATTAAAATAGTTTTTTAAATTCAATAACAAAACTTAAGCTGACTGCAATCTGAACAAGAACATCTACCTACTTCTTCTTTCTTTTAACCATAAATCCTTCACAGGCCTAAAAGGACCAGCTTACTGATGCTGCCACAAAAGCAGCTCAACATAGAATAATATCCTTCTAGCCAAATGTCTGCTATTTCTCTATTACTTCATGTGGTCTCCAATGCAGAACTTTACTACCTAGGAGCAATGAAGTAGCAGCGCAGGACTGAGTCATTCCTTAAAAAGGAACATCATATTTTTATTTTCAATCTTTAACCAAATAAACATGAAGAAAAAGATTTTATTTTCTTAATGACTGTATATTCTTTATTTTCCTTAATGAAGGACTAGACACAGGAAGGTTGTGAAACCGTCAAACTGGCTCTCAAAGACTTCTGACAGTCACTTCAGTTGCTAAGAACTGAACTATTTTGCATGCACCTCATATTTCCTTGTCTTGTTTTTTTTTTTGTGAGGTTGGGGTTTTTTGGTTTTGTTTTTTGTTTGTTTAACCCTCGGTCAATTCCTAATTCTGCATCTTGTGGGAATTCAGACATCTATGCTATGGCTCCTTGCAACTGAGCTGCACGTCACAGGCCAAAAAGCTTGGGACATTGGGATGCTGCTTAAATCTGCAGCATATCTGAATACATGTCCTGGCCAGCTTTTCTTAGAGTATGCAAAAGAATGGCCAAGCTGTAGATGAGCCACAGTGCCTTACTTACAGATTCACAGGTAATTGAAAGAAATGCCACAAACTGGGATGCTGCTTGATTCCTAATGCAGAACTACACCTTTTTCCCCAATGATTCAGAACTCCTCACTGATCACTTACTCTCTCCTTTCAATCCAAGTCTAAGTAACAACATCTGACAAGAAATGAATTGAAATATTTGTTTCTGAAAGACATGCTGAAACTGCTTGTGCTAGATTATTTCAAAAACATGAATTATTTAGCTCACTATTTTTGTCTTCCCCACTTTTTAAGGCATACCAGAAGCAAATCAACAAAGCACTGAAAGAAGGCAAAGACAACACTTACTTGTTACTGCTACATGTCGGTTTGATTTTCCTTCATCTATAGTATCCATAACTTCTTCTGGACTACATACAAAACGCTCTGTGCAACCCTTTAAAAAAAAAAGAAAAGACCACCACACCAACAAGCAGAAGTAAACAGTGTACGCCAGAGGAATGAAAGATGAAAACATATCAAATTGATGCTCACCTTTACATAGGGAACTCTATTTTTGTCCTCATGAACAGAAAGATTGGTCTTTGAAACTGGAAGAGAAAAAGTTCTAAAGCTAAGGTATGTATGATTTGCTTACAAAATGAACAACGCGTGTCCGAGTCATAGATGTTATTTCTCGGCAACATTTCATAAAAAACTTTGTATACATGAAACAACCACTACTGCAGTTTCAGCATTATCTAGATTAGCTCCATGTTTTCTTATTTTGATGTATCATCATTTGTACATTATTAGCATACTGTATCTCTTAGTATCATGAGAAGGCTTTTAGTGTTTGGTTTTTTTATATCTCTCCAGAAAATTTTTTTTCTACATTGAATATAAATAAAAGGCTTACCATCCAAAAGGTCCCTTATTTTATCCAAGTATATTTCAAAATATGACACCTAGAAGTGGGAAGGGGAATAAAGATACAGCATCAGAAAGCAAAAAATGCTTTGCTTTTGATCAGAAGGATCCAGCGTGATCATGATGACCCCCCACATGATTCCACAATTAGTTCAAGTCCTTAAGGCTGAACTAAAATACACCTTTAAGAAGAAACTATTTTGATCAAAAGCTTCAAGCACTATCAGCACTGCCACAGGTTATCAGGATAGCTACCATCAATGTTTAATGGAAACAAGATTAAAGCGTTAACGTAATTCTTCTCTAAGAAGAGTCAGTTAATTCAGAAACAACTCATGTTTAGATTTTCCAAGTTACAGTCATTTGAAACATATACAGAACATCCATTTAACAATAGACTACTTCCAGTTTTATTACAGATTAAATAAGTAACAATGAATAAAAGTTCACCTTTATATGAAACTCAAGATTCTCATCCATAGAGTAAATATAATTAAAAATATCTTGCACTATTCTTGGAATAATACCCATCCCATCCGGGTCATGAAGCTTCCCCTTATTAGAAAAAGAGACAATAAAACAAAACAGTCATACTGAATCCAACATCACAAACAGTATCCAAAGGCAAAACAGTTATCAGACAAATTAGTTTCAAAATGCTGACAGGTGTGATGCATCTATTTTAACTATAAAGGAAAAGTCTTGACCATCTGTTTAGGCCCAGCAACTGCCAGGAGTGAAGAGAAAAAAAATCTCAGAAAACTCCTAAACTACTAAAAGTGAAAATGTATTATTAACATAATTCTTGTGTTTCTCATCCTGCTACTGAGGGCTGAAAAAAAATATAATAACTGCCATTCTCTGTCCTAAAAAGACATTTTGGATATCAAAATACTGCAATGGAAAGAAAATTAAAATTCTAAGATGAAAATAAGCAGATATCTTGTTTCTAGAAAGGTAAGACTATCATGATGAAAAAAGATGATAGCGACATTAAGAGGAAAATTATTTTAACATTTCTTACTTCCATAGTGTGTGTCTTTCCAGACGATGTTTGCCCATAAGCAAATATTGTACCATTGTATCCCTCAAGTACATCTAAAGGGAAAGAAGGGTTAATTTCCTTCTTCTAAAGGAAAGTCAAATGAAATAGAACACAAGCAGGCAGCTCCTAAAACGTTCAGCAAGTTAAATCATTCAGTGTTTGGGACCTTTGTGCTAGAATTAGGGGGAGGGAGGGCATTCCTCCCTACTCCTTTTAATGCATTAAGTCATCATCAACTGCATTTTAGAAGTTTACTGTATGAGAAGCATCTGCTCCTTTAACCAGAAAATTCAGGACTTCAGTCAGGAACAAAAAGGAAATTGATACGACTGCCAGACTGAACAGGTAGTCTTTGAAGAAACCACCATACATAAGAACGCTATAGTATGTTCTGTCTTCAGGAAAGTTAAATTGTCCAATCGTGAGGAGAATGGGCAGTGCCCTAAGTTTAAAGCATCTTACTCTTTGGCCATAAGCTTATGTTTCAAATTATTACGGAATCAACCCAAAGTTTTAGATTGAGGGAGCTGGTGGGTTGGTTTGTTTACAAGTCAACTACTATAGAATCACATCCTGCAAACAAACGTTTATTTTACAAAACAAGCATGAGAACTCCCAAGTTTTTGCCACTCCATCATACCCATAATCCATTTGTACCACCACTGCACTCATTTACCACATGATGTAGCACAGCCTAGAAATGCTGCACAGAGAAACAAGTATCAGATTGTTAGATGGAGGAAAGGGGCGGCATTACAATTCTTAGTTAACTTCAAGTAAAGCTTCTGATCTAATCTTGATTGCTATTTAACTCATTAAAGAGTTAAATACTTGCAGCAGCATGGATTTTCCACACCCATTCTCTTTTCTAATGATAAAAAAACTCTACATTTACCCAATCTTCTGTCCCTAATAGCTGATATTTCAGGGGAAGTTGTGAAAGTTGTGTCAATTAGAACTTATTACCGACCTCCACAAGAAAATAATCTATTTTATTTTCAGGAAACTAGCTAATTGCTTACTACAACAACTTACTGTAGTATAACCTTCTTTGTGGTAAGACTTGATTTTCTGAAGTTACCAGGCTGATTCTGACAATTCAACTTTGGAGAAACTGTACACCCTGACATGCACAGCGATAACTCATGTTTAAACTTCTAATTGTGAATCTAAGAATCACATTTAAAAAAAAAAACCTTAAGCTGTGTATTAAATAAAGAAGTTTAAAAAAGATCTATAGTATACACATGATTTCACAAGTTTCTTTTCCTCTTATATTCCTCCAAACAAATTGAAGTATTTGTAGGATGCCTTCATCAATAAATTAAAAAACAAACAAACAAACCTCCTCTATTCATAAGAGTTATTTTGATTAATTTCTGACAAATTGTTCTAAACAATCTCTTGCAGAGAACTGAAAAAAAACCAAACCATGTCAGGTAAATGTTATCAAACGTTGCAATCAACCGAAACAGCAGGTTAAGCACTGACATAATCAATCAGCTCAACTACAGAATGATTTTGTAGCACCATGATTCTGTGTTGGCTTTTAAGAAACACTCAGAAGATAAAGGCGAGCAATAGAAGTATCAGTGTTCAACACTGAAATTCACGCGAATATGAGACTTTCTTATGGTTAAAGTTGCTGTTCCACCTTACCTTTGACAATCTTTTTAGCACAATCATTATATACTTGTTCCTGTGATGTGTTTGACTGGAATACACGGTCAAATATATATGGCTTTGACTGGAAAAGAAAAAAAAAAGACATAGAAAAGCTATTAAAAAAATAGATACTAGAAGCAGAACTGGAAAGTGTTTGTTCACAGTTCAGAAATAGCCCTACACTGTCTCAGCACAATCTTTTGTTTTATTTTAAGCACTTGAAGACTGTAGTGAGGGAAACAGCTTATACTGTGTTGCCTAAATCTTCATATGCTTGCCTACAAGTAAGGCCTTGAATTAAATACATTTGGTTTCAAAGTGCCATCTAAACAGTTCTCCAAAACCACTCTGCCACATGACCTCAATTAACTTGATTTACAAGGTAAGCCAATGCCTAGCCTGTATATCTGAGAACCTCTTATTCTCTTCTGCTCTGGTAACAGGTTTACTCTGGCAAACTCAAATTATTAAAACCAGCTTATGCCACATCACACAGAACATCTGTGTTGGTAATATTTGTTAAAAAACCTCAAACCAAAAACAAACATTCAGATCACCTACAGTCCGCACAAGAACAATTTGGAGATGTTCAAAACCCGCCTGGACACGTTCTTGTGTGATCGGATCTCGGTGGTCCTGCTCAGGCAAGAGGATTGGACTAGATGATCCTTTGAGGTCCCTTCCAATCCTTAAGATTCTGTGATTCTGTGAATTTCCCCCTGTGATATCCTTAAAATAAAGCTCCATAAGCAGAAGAAAAAGGCCACTTAGGAGGAAGAGAACCTTTCACAGAAGACTCATTTTGGAAGACACTGGAAGAAGCAGCTCTGACACAGCTTTTTGAAAGGAATGTTGGATTTTGCTCTGGTTTAAAGAGATATTCATAATGCAGTTCTAAGCACCTGAAAATCCATTAGGATATAAACTATTTTGCTCATCTTACAAAGTTCAAATTTTTGTAGCATTTTCAGAGTTTGATTTAGTATGTAGCCAAGCAGATAGGCAAGCTTTACAAAGGACCTAGGTCAGTTACCATTGCTAAACTTCCTGCAACTGTTAAGCGCTCTATTTTGCCTAAATTTTATTCATTATCATCCTCCTTCATGGACATTCTGGAACTGCCTCTCTGGCAAAGAAACAAGAACAGCTTCCTCCACCCACTATGTTCCCTTTCCCAGCCTGATCTTCCATTTGTCTTTTAATAACATCTAGCATAACACCAAACAAAACTTTTTAGATTCAACACATACCTATCTGCTGAGAGGACTTGAATTCAGGTGGATGAGCTCCCTCTTGGAAAAAATAATTACAGCATTCAGTGGGTAAATACGCTCAAGAAACCACAAGACTCAGTAGGCAGAAACTATCCCTAAGGTCCTGAAGTTTGTCAGAACGCCTGTTGCACAGCAGGGAAATCACAAGCCTCTCGATTGCTCATTTTAGCTTCAAATACACCTCAATTTCACATGTTCTACAGGTAGAACTGAGGCTATTACATACACCAGAAAACAAACAACTAACAAGTTCAAGTAACCTTGAGGTAAGAAAATGAAGACTGAGAACACGTTACTTAAAAAGGTAAGTCACTAAAAGATAACCCTAGCTATATGTTTTCTTTCTCACCAGCAGCTGTAGTTTCAGAAAGCCTCCAGCTTCACAAATATCAATCAGCTACACTATACACTGCAAGTCATCTACATCACAAAACATTCATCAGATCTGTTTCATGCTCAAGTCTTTCTCATATTTTTACACACTGAAATACTACCACTTTGGAGGATTACTTTACATTACACACTGGAAAAAATACAGCGAGAAGAGTGATAGCAAACACTCTGTGCAGCATCAGAAATTTGTGTGTTTGTAAGATTTAAACTTGTCTCCAAATTGTTGCTCCAGAAAATATATAGATAGCAATTATTCCAATAAAATTGATTTTAGAAGAATTAGGGCAAGTTCCAGGATACGATCTTCTGACAGTCTATGCAGCAACAGTTAACAATACTCACTATTTCTCACAGATCCCAACATATCTGATCTTTTCTGTTCTCATAGCTGTCATGCTCTATTTGGAACAGTAAAACACATGAGAATGCAAATGTTATTTTGCACAGTATTTGTGTTTGAACGTATACACATACATTATTGTGTATTTATATATATTTTCCGCAGGTCCTGAAGGAACTGGCAGATGAAGTTGCCAAGCCACTGGCCATTGTATTTGAGAAGTCGTGGTGGTCTGGCGAGGTCCCCGATGACTGGAAGAGAGGGAACATAACCCCCATTTTTAAAAAGGGGAACAAGGAGGACCCGGGCAACTACAGGCCAGTCAGCCTTACCTCTGTGCCTGGCAAGGTCATGGAGCAGATTCTCCTGGGAACCATGCTAAGGCACATGGAGAGCAAGGAGGTGGTGGGTGACAGACAACATGGTTTCACCAAAGGCAGATCGTGCCTGACCAACTTGGTGGTCTTTTATGATGGGGTGACAGCATCGGTGGACAAGGGTCGACCAATGGATATCATCTACCTAGACTTGTGCAAAGCTTTTGACACTGTCCCGCACGACATTCTTCTCTCTAAACTAGAGAGGCATGGGTTTGATGGATGGACCACTCGGTGGATAAGGAATTGGCTCAATGGCCGCACTCAGAGAGTAGTGGTTAATGGCTCAATGTCCAAGTGGAGACCGGTCACGAGTGGCGTCCCTCAGGGGTCCGTGTTGGGCCCGCCCCTCTTCAACATCTTTGTCAATGACGTGGACAGTAGCATGGAGTGCACTCTCAGCAAGTTCGCTGATGACACCAAGCTGTGTGGTGCCGTCGACACGCTGGAAGGGAGGGACGCCATCCAGAGG